GACTGGATTTAGCTCTTTGACATAGGCCATTCAGTAACCTGACTGCTCACCATGGACAGGGAGAACTCGGCAAGCAAGATAGAAGGGGAAATACAAGACTCATTGAGTTCCATTGGTTTAATATTGTATTTTTAGTTGTAAATAATAGAAACATTTATTTATACTGGGCCAACTTCTAGAAGGATCCAAGCTTCAATGTGGAAATATCAAGACCCACTCAAGCAAGTGTGTAGGTATAAACAGTGGCTCTCGCCCCTAACAGGCAGGTGTATGCACCCCAGGTAGTGGGAGGTGCGTGCGCTGTAGCCTCATTGGGAAGAACGGTCCACTCACGCATTTATCCTCCTTTCTCATAGGTGGGTCCGATGCCCTGGTTGGGTCCTCAAACAGACCAATCTATCAAAGGGCTATGTGAGAGAGGGAGGAAGAATATCCTTTTGGTTCCAATAGCGTTCACCAGCGATCACATCGAAACACTGTACGAATTGGATATCGAGTACTCGCAAGTGTTAGCCAATGAGGTAAATGCACCCATCTGGTTTATTAATCCCATGGTGATTTGCTTTAAAAGGAAATTTTCTTTGCAACTATCTAATTGGAGCATTCAGAAATATCATTTACTATATGTGTTTGCACATATCCTGTCCTCGTGGTTCTGAATAATGCTTCATCTGAGTAAGAACCTCAGCACACCGAGTTCATCCCGTGTCAGCAGTGGGAGAGGACACCTGTGCTTTGGTTAAATCAGGTGGCCCAGCGGTCACAGCAGCCAGCATCATTTCGTTTAGTTCGCGTTACTGTGCTACTACTTGAAAGTAATAGCAGCTATATTTCCTTAAGAAAAAGAATTGTGCTTTTCACCAATTCTAAGGAGAAAAATTTTAATGTTCTATAATTTCTTCTCTTTGCCTAATAGTGTCCTTTCCTTGGGGCTATTATACACAGGTTCTCGTTGGGTTGCAAGGCATCTAGGAGTCATTGTCATCTAAGAGAACAGCATGGGATGCACA